AAAAAAACTAACAAAGACTTTTTAGAAAAAATACTGTGGGAAGAGTCAAAAAAAGAATTCTTTAAACAAGATCAAAAATAATAAAAAGATTAATTTAAAAAAATACAGCAGAAAAGATATAAGAATTCTTGTAATCAAGTAGAGAAACTAAAATATATATCAAACTTACTTTAAACATGATATGAAATTGCTTTTACAAGAATATTTAGAAAAGAAGATTTGAACTCCTACATAGATAGAAAATTGACAAAAGTATTTCAACCAGAAATAAACAAAGAATCAAGCTACCAATAAAAGAGGAAAAATTGAAACCAGAAGCTATTAAATCAAGATCAAAAAAAACAGATTCGAAAAAAGATAATAGTTTAAATAAAATAGATAAAAAACAAAAAAAAAAAGAAGTGATTAAAAAATATAAAAAATCATTGATTTAGCAACTTTAGAAATAAGTCAAAATAGTTACAAACCCTTTTGGTATGGCTTGTATAGCTAACCTGGTATTAGCCTTCTGGTCTTTAAAGTATATTTCAAACCAATATGACAAACTGCTTCTGACATCTATAAGATAGCAAAAAAATATTAGGCCTAGATATTAAGCTTAACATTATGTAATTTATTTATATAATAATCTTAATAAAGGATCACTAACAAAGTTACCGTTGTTTCAAGCAGTAATAAAAAAACTTTTATATATATAGTTACACTATATATACATTAATAAAGATACTAATATGATTACCAAAATAACAAAAAAAATAAATAAATACAAACTATTATATTGTAACAAAAAACAAAAACAAATAAAAAAACAAGTCTATATAAAAAGTTTTTTATACAAATCTACTATAAAAATTTAAAATATAAAAATTTAAAATTAAATTTAAGGAAAAGATTGAATATTAAAAATGACCCATGGGTCAACCCACTGGTTAGCCACTCGGGTTGTTACAACCCAACACCCACCCGGATCAAAACACTATTTCTTACAGTTACGTGAAAATTAAGTCTACCAAAACTTACAAAATTTTCGCAACATTATGCCAAAATTACGGTAATTTGCAACCCTAAACACAACAAGCAACGTCAGGTGCGGGTGTTAACTTCAAGCATGACCTCAATATTATGGAATTGGCATACCGGTAAATACAAATATTATTATTTGAGTTATTTGGGTTTTGTAAAAATTTTTAAAAAAACTATTTGATGAATAATCATTTTATTTCATTCATGTCGATTAGTCTGAGTATAAAAATAAATTTCATTTAAATTTACGAGTCGCACAAAAAACGTGTAACAAGAATAATACGAGTGGTGAATGGTGTGAGGTATGACTATATGATCGATCACTTATCGACCAGCCATACTCAAAAAAATTTTTTTATGATCGGTCAATCAAAAGATTGACCATTCCCTAATTGATCATCTCTACGATCACCTATTTCTTCTTCTTTCTCTTTCCCTTCTTTTTCTCGCAACATACCTACGCCTCGATGACGATGAACTCGATGAAGAATCAGACGATGAATCCGATGATGAACCAGATGAATCTGAAGATGAATCTGACGAAGAATCTGATGAACTACTACTTTGTAGAGCATGTTTCTGCGCCATAAGCAATTTCTGCGCGTTCTATAAAATGTTATAAATAATGTTAAAACGTCAATAAATAATAAATAATAACTATTTTGCTAATTTTACTAATTGTTTAAAAATCAATATAAATTTAACAATAACCTGTAAATGTTCTCTTAACTCGTCAGTTAATAAACCTAAACCAATACTAGTGAAATAATTAATTGCGAAACGAGTATTTCGTGGATTGTCCTTTGGAAATAGACCAGTAAAATATTCCATCATTGTGCTATCTTTTAATCTTTCTTTAAGTTTTTGTAAACCTAAAGTACCACTCAGTTCTTCAAATAAAATTTTTACAAAGATTCGAGAACTTGATGTGGTATCGTCTTCGGTTAATTTGATAATATTAAACACTTGCCAGGACAAAGCGTCGGATGCCAAAAGGTGTCCGAAAAACTTTGAAACATTTCGTAACCTATTTGTTTCATATCGATGAATTGTCTCATAATATTGGACAAAACACTGTTCAAAAGCTTTGGCCCACACCAGATTTATTTTTGCGAGACGTTCTCCAATTAGTCCAAAAAATTTTTCATAAGTTCGCTCTTGAGAACAACATTCGATAATCATGTTGCAGAGTTCCATCTGAATAAAGGATTTAAAAAGGTTTTTAGAAAAACCTCACAGTTATTATGATGATTGAAATAGTTATAACGCGTTGATACTTACTTCCTGTCCTTCCTGAATACTAAGTTTCATGAGTTTGTGACAACATTCTTCAAAATCAACACTCGACTTGATAGTTAAATATATTGTCCTACGCAAATTGATCAAATTTGTATTTGTTTGATCGCGAATTTCCACTTTTTTTGCAACTTTTAATATTAAATAAAATGAAAAATTATATCAGTTGTAAGTGTAAGAAAACAAAGATCAGGATATTAATATATGAGGTCTTTGCTAGGAAAATAGCCCACCGAGGCTATGTTGATTTTGTGAATAGAAATAAATATGCCGGCCATTCTAGTCATCTTATTCGAATGATTTTTTTTTTTATTTTGTAGAGCTTATTTAGCTCTACAAAAAAAAAAAATAAAATAAAATAAAAAAAATAGTTCATTCAAATTGGATAACTAGACGGTTGGCAAATTTAATTTCTCGGAGGGTCATTTTCCTAGCAAAGATCCCATACATATATATATACTGTATATATATATAATTTACCTTCTTCTTCGTCACTGCTTTCATCGCTTTCAGAACCAGATTCATCTTCTTCATCTCCGGAATCCTCGCCTAAAATTTGTGTCTTGATTTCTTTGTATTTCTCTTCATTTACTAAATAATCGGGGTCATAGTTAAAAATACCTACACAAGGGCATTAAAAAATTATAACGCGTTATAAAATATGCCTATAATAAAATATGTTTAAAATATGTCTATAAATAAATAAATAAATAAATATATGTATATAGATACAAACCAAGAGTTTCCTCGACATCCAATTCATCATCCAACGATAAATGATGAGTTATTTGATCATCATCTTTGACTAAATCCAATTCGGGAGCTATTGGAGGATTATCTTTATATTTATCCTTCCTTACTTGAAATAAGACTTCAATCATATATTGAACTCTCTTTTCAACATTTGCTTCATGTAAAATTGCCCTAAAACGATCAAAAACATCATTATTCGCCTTTGGTGAAACTTCTGCCAAATGTGCTCCACATTCTCGAATAAACCCTACGGCAACTTCAACTGAATCACTTGTTGGACTTTCGAGAAGAAGCACAAGAATTTGTAGCGCAACAATTTCATGAGCTACAAGATGATTACATAAATGTGCGATAAATGTTGTTGTGGCAAGACATGTTGTTTTATCATTTCTTCTATATGCTTTACGGAATTGAACAATCAACCTAGTAAGTACCAATTCTCCAACTTGTGGTAGTTTAGTGTTGATTATAGAGATTAATGCCGCATAAACCGGTGTAAATGGTGGTGAAGCTGCTTGTGCCTTCATTATTGATCTTGCAAAAAGTCCTCTACCACGAATCAAGTTTTCATTTATCAATTCAAAAACAATATTTTTGATGTTTGATGTATTAACCTAGAAAAGAATATTTTTTTATATATTGTTTTGGAAATTGATTTAGGATGTGAATTTAAATAATAAAAAAGGATAAATTAATGGAATATTGATATTTACTTTGTTAATAAGTCCATTAATACTTTTTTTGAGGGCATCCCAGGTAATTCGTTGGTACTCTGCACTTGATTTATCTGTAACTTTTTGCTGCAGTAATTTTAATCTAGAAGGTGGGATATAAACTCCACCACCTCTGGTATTAACCAGTACTTCTTGTTCAGTCTGAAGTAGGGACATCTTTTTTTAAAGTTGATCTTAGAACTTGCGAAAATGAAAATGTATATCAATGGCGAAGTTCTAATTCTGTAATCATGTATATATAAACGTTACACCACATTTTTACCCGGCAATTGATTTCCATCGGCATATCGGGTTTATAACGTTTATAACAGATAAACGTCTATATTATTGTCTGCACTTTGTTTTAAAGATGTCACATAATCGACGAGCCCGTAGAGCACCTCAGGAAGAGGAAGACGCCTCGAAGTTAAAATTTGGTGAAGGTATATATTATTAATATAAGTTTAAATTCATGTTTAAAATAAACGCGATTATTCAGATCCTTATTTAATCACGTAAATATCGTAAATATTTAGATTTTGAAGGCGAAGAATTTTTATTCATTTCTGAAGTGCATCTTTTGCTACAAAAAACACCCGAAAATCAAAAAAATACACCGTTAGTATCGTTCATTTTTTTAAAGGTCAAGAGAAATATTTAAAATCAACGCAAATCTCTTAAAAATTCGTTATTTCCGGGCCATTTTTAACTTTGTATCGTGAAATTTTAGCGTATATCAAAAAACTGCAAAATATGTCGAATTGTTTACCAAGTTTCATAACGAAGAATCAGTACGGGAAATACGAAAGTATATATATATATTTTTTTTTTTATTTTATTTATTTTTTTTTTGAAAGTTGTTTTATCTTAACTACTTGGTGATTTGATGTTTTAAATTAGAACATTGATGAGACATAAGCTTCACAAGTATGAATTGGTTCAGTTAGCCAATTTATGTTGTGATGAAGTAGAGGAGGCAAAATCTCTTATTCCAAGGAAAGTAAAAAAATTCAAAAATAATTACAATTTGATATTAATTTGATAGAACTAACGATTTCGTCTATTTTCAATAAACTATTAGTTTATGTAAGAAATCAGATGAGGAAATACGTTCAATGCTTGATGATATCGGGCAATTGAAAAAATTCCAGACTTGATTTAATTTGGATTTTCGATACCTATAAATAATGATCTATTTTATATTTACTATGTATCAATTTCATATATACTATAGATATTTTACGTCTATTTATGATTCATGTGGATTTTAAATTAACATGCGTCATGTTAGAATTTATTACGACTGGAATATTACATATCTAGATCCATAGAGAAACTACGATAATAAAAAGAGTTATTTTTACCTTATTATAAATATGGGATCCTTTTTCATCTTAATCAGGGTTAGTGATAACGTTAGTAATAACGTTAGTGGATAATAACTATACCATTTTTGCGTAGAGTCGCGGATGATGGTGAAATTTGGGGTCTCAGTTTGACAATATAAGCCTTACCAAAACCTACATATTCT